GTCGTCAATGCTGAAGACTCCATGACAGAGAATTCCATACAGTCAGTATAAGGGGGAGACTGTTATCTGTGCTACACCAGGTACTGACGTGTTCGTCAATGCTGAAGACTCCATGACAGAGAATTCCATACTGCCAGTATAAGGGGGAGACTGTTATCTGTGCTACACCAGGTACTGATGTGGTCGTCAATGCTGAAGACTCCATGACAGAGAATTCCATACAGCCAGTATAAGGGGGAGACTGTTATCTGTGCTACACCAGGTACTGATGTGGTCATCAATGCTGAAGACTCCATGACAGAGAATACCATACTCTCAGTATAAGGGGGAGACTGGTATCTGTGCTACACCAGGTACTGTTGTGGTCATCAATGCTGAAGACTCCATGACAGAGAATTCCATACAGCCAGTATAAAGGGGGACTGGTATCTGTGCTACACCAGGTACTGATGTGTCGTCAATGCTGAAGACCCATGACAGAGAATTCATACAGCCAGTATAAGGGGAGACTGTTATCTGTGCTACACCAGGTACCGATGTGGTCGTCAATGCTGAAGACTCCATGACAGAGAATTCCATACTCCCAGTATAAGGGGAGACTGTTATCTGTGCTACACCAGGTACCTGATGTGGTCGCTCAATGCTGAAGACTCCAACGACAGAGAATTCCATACAGCCAGCATAAGGGGAGACTGTTATCTGTGCTACACCAGGTACCGATGTGGTCGTCAATGCTGAAGACTCAATGACAGAGAATTCCACACTGCCAGTATAAGGGGGAGACTGTTATCTGTGCTACACCAGGTACTGATGTGGTCATCAATGCTGAAGACTCAACGACAGAGAATTCCATACAGCCAGTATAAGGGGGAGACTGTTATCTGTGCTACACCAGGTACTGATGTGGTCGTCAATGCTGAAGACTCCATGACAGAGAATTCCATACAGCCAGTATAAGGGGGAGACTGGTATCTGTGCTACACCAGGTACTGATGTGGTCGTCAATGCTGAAGACTCCATGACAGAGAATTCCATACAGTCAGTATAAGGGGGAGACTGTTATCTGTGCTACACCAGGTACTGACGTGTTCGTCAATGCTGAAGACTCCATGACAGAGAATTCCATACTGCCAGTATAAGGGGGAGACTGTTATCTGTGCTACACCAGGTACTGATGTGGTCGTCAATGCTGAAGACTCCATGACAGAGAATTCCATACAGCCAGTATATAAGGGGAGACTGTTATCTGTGCTACACCAGGTACCTGAAGATGTGGTCATCAATGCTGAAGACTCCATGACAGAGAATACCATACCTCAGTATAAGGGGAGACTGGTATCTGTGCTACACCAGGTACCGTTGTGGTCATCAATGCTGAAGACTCCATGACAGAGAATTCCATACAGCCAGTATAAGGGGAGACTGGTATCTGTGCTACACCAGGTACTGATGTGGTCGTCAATGCTGAAGACTCCATGACAGAGAATTCCATACAGCCAGTATAAGGGGGAGACTGTTATCTGTGCTACACCAGGTACTGATGTGGTCGTCAATGCTGAAGACTCCATGACAGAGAATTCCATACAGCCAGTATAAGGGGGAGACTGTTATCTGTGCTACACCAGGTACTGATGTGGTCCTCAATACTGAAGACTCCATGACAGAGAATTCCATACAACCAGTATAAGGGGGAGACTGGTATCTGTGCTACACCAGGTACTGATGTGGTCGTCAATGCTGAAGACTCCATGACAGAGAATACCATACAGCCAGTATAAGGGGAGACTGTTATCTGTGCTACACCAGGTACTGATGTGGTCGTCAATGCTGAAGACTCCATGACAGAGAATACCATACAGCCAGTATAAGGGGGAGACTGTTATCTGTGCTACACCAGGTACTGATGTGGTCGTCAATGCTGAAGACTCCATGACAGAGAATTCCATACAGCCAGTATAAGGGGGAGACTGTTATCTGTGCTACACCAGGTACTGATGTGGTCGTCAATGCTGAAGACTCCATGACAGAGAATACCATACAACCAGTATAAGGGGGAGACTGGTATCTGTTACACCAGGTACTGATGTGGTCATCAATGCTGAAGACTCCATGACAGAGAATACCATACAGCCAGTATAGGGGGAGACTGGTATCTGTGCTACACCAGGTACTGATGTGGTCGTCAATGCTGAAGACTCCATGACAGAGAATACCATACTGCCAGTATAGGGGGAGACTGTTATCTGTGCTACACCAGGTACTGATGTGGTCGTCAATGCTGAAGACTCCATGACAGAGAATACCATACAGCCAGTATAAGGGGGAGACTGGTATCTGTGCTACACCAGGTACTGATGTGGTCGTCAATGCTGAAGACTCCATGACAGAGAATTCCATACAGACAGTATGAGGGGGAACTGTTATCTGTGCTACACCAGGTACTGATGTGGTTGTCAATGCTGGTTCCTCCAGTCACATACTCGACACATCAGGGGATGATTAATTTTGATACTTGAGACTCACAAATGAGTTCGAGACAACAAGGAGTTCGACACATCCAGTTTCGAGTCTAAATGATGATAAATAAAGAAACCGAACTGAGTCAGTCTGTTTCACAAACATGACATTTGTGTGAGGGAAGCAATATACCCTCGATATGGATTACCAGTGATATGTGATACACGGTCACCTTGACCTTCACAAGTTCACACTGTTGTGAGTAATGTTTTCTGTTTTGTATTCATGTTCCTCGGGAGAAAGAACATATCTTTCTAACTGATACTGAAACTAAACATGTTTCACCAACTCATTCTGTATTTCTAAGCATTTGATGTTATAACACAAACATTTATTTCCGTCTATTTCCTCTTTACATTTAGTCTTTATTAACAGTAAATGTGTGTGTGTTCTCTATATGGTATTGCATCGTAACAAATCGGGCATAGATGTATCGAAATGTGATTCATAGAATAGCAACATAAACAGTTTCATAATCTCTAGTGAAAACCAATTCAACCCTTCTGTCTCTGGAATGCTCCTGGAAGAAGTCATCGTGCCTGTGAATAAAATGTCAACCCCAAAATGTTCAAGAGCTGGGAGCCATGGTTGCCTATTGCTGTGTTCGCGGTTGAAGTCAGTCAATGTGAACTTGATAACTACTTCATACAACGTTGCGGGGGGAGGCGTGGGTGTTGAAGTTGTCAGGGAAGCACAAATTTATGGTTGATCAAGTATGTATTGCTGTGCATCGATATTAATGAATTGATATTCCTTCCGTTGCAGGTGGCTGATAGTTCCAGCTGGGTAAACTTTCAACAATGCTGAGGCTCTTTGCGGTTCTCGTGCCAACGTTTTGTAAGTATCATACCTTTGGTCGACAAACCCATGCCCTCCGCATATGAGTAATTCTACACATGATAATAGACTGTGTAAAAGCTGATGAAACATTAATGAGTAAAAACTAGGTGCTAAAGATGTCGGGTGAAACGGCAGATTCGTTTTCGATGACGAAATGGTTTTATTGTTATTCTGAGGCTTGTGTGTTGGGATTAGGTCTATTCATCAGGCATATTCATTATTTAATTGATAGTATCATAGCACAGTGGCATACGTTATAATTATAACAACAATTGAATACATATATGTTTACAACGATGACGTCACATACAGAATATAACTAAAGTATATGCAGTTGGTGTTAATAATACAAGGTTTATAAAATAGATTATAATTACACTTTCATACACTGTCTGTGTGTGATACGTAAGAGATATGTTTACTTTATGCGCGATCGGTAATAATATGTTTACTAACTTAAGGTACTTAACTGATAATGATTAGAGTGAGCGAGTGAGTTTAGTTTTAAACTGCAATCAGCAATATTCCAGCTATATGGCGGCGGTGATAATGATTAGATATTTAGCACTATGAAATAGAGAAAGAATATAGAGAGGGTGCTTACCTGTGAATTGTGAAATCATACAACATTAGTTATATGTTGTGTCAGCCATACATGTACCATGGCTGACGGATGTGAATTCAAATTGTCATACGTCACAGGTGTTGAAGCCTGTGCTTTTGGTGGTGAGCCAAATACAGGTAGCAAATACAACACCCTATATAAGACAGTGGAGAAGCAGTCTTCTGAAAGGCGGTCGTCGACACGACATCCCTCCGCTGGAAAATGTTGTCCCCAACAGTTAGGACACAACCAATGGATGAAGGAAATGAAGCCCGAACGAATGATGAACCAAACAACACGATGCTTGCAAAGACTCAAGTCTTGGGAAGGAACAAACCAAACACTGAAACATTCCTTCAAGACAAAAACCATGGAATTCCCACCTTTGAGATAAGAACAGACAAAACCAAACTGAACAAAGAGAGCCAAAAAATGCAAACATATTTACAATAAACAGTACATCACACAAAAACTTCCTCCTCTTCTGTATCTTCTCTGATGGTCGATCCGAAGTTAATGATCCATTGATTATCTCTCATCCAGGCTGGACGGTTCCGAAGTCAGGAAGGTCTCCCCGACTCTGGAGTGGGTTCGACGTTGAAGCCGGACTTGAGGTATTGTCAGGGGAGATAACTGCCTCTTGGACTTCTAGCAATGCAGTATATCCAGGAGAGTGCTGGGGAGACGTAAAGGTGCTGCATCGGCAGGGTGATCACATGACATGTGACCATGATCAGAGATAATAGACTCTGACCCAGCACCTGAAACAAAAACAGTTGAACTTACCTGACTCCTGAGTCTTGGCAGTATATCTTCCTCGCTGTCATCTTCAGGTTCATGTGCAGCTTGGTAATCCTTCACACGAAGGGAATCAGACTTCTTGCTGCGTGGGTAGTCACGTATTTGTGTAGGCAGAGCTGGCTGTAGGGAAACAGATTGGAGTGGTACGAGCATGTTGCGATATAGAGCCCTCAGTGGTCCCTTGCCACTCTCTTGCTTCACAATGTAGACAGGAATATCCTCATTGGGCTGTTTCAGGATGATGTAGACTTCCTTGCCCCACTTGTTAGCAAGTTTGCTTCTTCCTGTGAGTCCAACTAGGCGCACTAACACTCTGTCATTGGGTTGAAGAAATGATTCTCTCACTTTCTTGTCATAGTTCTGTTTGTGGCGATGACCAGCTTTCTTGGATTCCTTGGAGGCAATACTAGAGGCAAACTGTAGCCTCTTTCTCAGGTTCTGGGCATACTGAGTGTGCGTGGTTTGTCGTTCTCCGAGGCTAAGTCCGAGAAAGGCATCTACAGAGAGTCGAGGGTGTCTCCCAAACATGAGGAAGAATGGGGTGTATCCTGTACTCTCGTGTCTAGTGGCGTTATATGAGTGTACCAGGGATGGCACTCCAATTACTTTTCTTTGGTTGTCGAGAGTGCCCAGGATATTCATCAAAGTCTGGTTAAACCGCTCAGTCATACCATTTCCTTGTGGATGATAAGGTGCTGTTCTAGTCTTCCTGATTCCGGTTTACCGACACAGTTCGTTGATGATATTTCCCTTAAAGTTTCTCTCTTGGTCACTGTGAAGTTTGACTGGACACCATAATTGACGAGGAAGTTGTCAAAAAAGACTCTCGCAGTTGTCTTGGTGGATTGGTTGCGAGTTGGGATGGCTGTGGCATAACGGGGGAAATGGTCTGTTATAACGAGGATGTTCTCATAGCCTCCCTTTGATTATTAAGCACACAAGTTCCATAGGTTGTGATGACTTTCACTGTAGTCTTGGACTTATGCAGTTTCCACAGTTCTTCACATATTGCTCCACTTCCTCGGACATTCCAGGCCAAAAGAACCTTGACTTAGCTAGATAAAGGGTCCTGTCTCGTCCTTGATGTCCAGAGTCATCGTGGAGGGCTTTCAATATATCAATAATCTTGTGAGAAGATAACATAAGTTGCTGTTGAGGTTCATCTGTGCCTTTGACTTGTCTGTACAAGATCCCATCTTTGATTGATAATTTGTCCCAGTCTTGGATTAGTCTTCTGACAACAGGATCCTCCAGTGAATGTTGGCGTGCTGTTGGTTTTTCACCTTGCTTGACTAGATGGAGAACACGCTTGAGATGCTTGTCACTGAGCTGCTCCTTCTTCCAGGACAATGAGGTTGGAGTCAATGAAACAACGTCATCAGGACATACAGCTTCTTTGTTGAAGGATAGGCTCTCAGCTGCTATGCAAGGGGTGTGGGGAACCTGGCTCTAGAAGATGGCCTTAATAGAGGTTGGTTCTATGTGTATCTCCTGGCTAACAGAGTAGCATGGCCTTCTTGATAATCCGTCAGCATCCATCCAAGCAGCTGGCCATCGGTGACCAGTAGCATCAAGTTTGGCGGATGTCAAGACATACGTTAAAGGATTGTTGTCAGTCTTGACCTCGAATTTGTTACCGTAGAGATACTCATGGAACTTGTCCGTGACTGCCCATTTCAGTGCCAAGAATTCCAGTTTGTGAGCAGGGTAGTTCTTCTCACTTTTCCTCAGACCACTACTTGTATAAGCGATGACTCTCATCTTCCCGTCCTGCTTCTGATAGAACACTGCACCAATTCCTTCTGTACTGGCGTCTGTGAGGACTTCAAAAGTGAGAGAGTAGTCGGCCTAGGCTAAGGTTGGAGGAGACGTGAGGTGCCTGCCTAAGGTGTCAAATGCTTCCTGGTGTTCATCGTTCCATTTCAAATTGGGATCTGGTTTTGAGTTCCTTCTCTTCTTCTTTAGTGGCCGAGCAATCCTGGCGAAGCCCTTGACAAAACGGCAATAGTATCCAGTAAAGCCTAAGAATCTTCTGACTTCATGGACGTTAGTTGGAGTTGGTCAGGTCGTCAGTGCAGAGACTTTCTCGGGGTCTGTTTCTATCCCATTGCAAGAGACTACATGTCCTAGATATGCCACTCGGTGTCTGAATAGTTCACACTTGAATGGCTTGAGCTTGAGTCCATTGTTATTTTGAAAAGCCACTCCTCTAAAGTTTTGGAGAAAATGATGGCGTCATCAAGATAGATGAGACATTCCTTCAGGTTTAGGTCTCCCATGCATTTTTCCATCAAACGGTAAGGCCAAACGGCACCCTGTTACACTCGTAGAATCCAAGTGGGCCAAATGAAAATGCTGTTTTCTTTTTGTCTTTTTCTTTCATCTCCACCTCTCAATATCCCGAGCCCAAACCCAGCTTTGAAAACAAAGATGCTCTTGAGAGGCAATCCAGTGTCTCTTCAATTCGAAGGATGGAGTAGGCATCTTTAATGGTCCAATGATTAATCCGGCAAAAATCCACAGGCTACCATTTCATGAAAATGCTCCCCCACTTCCTCAAACATTCCAGCTATTATGCGACGGTGAGGGTCCTTAAATGGGGTGTCATCAGTGAGATTAATCTCATGTTGAACTACATTGGTGTGTCCTAAGTCCAAGATGTTCTTCGACATGATGCAGTCCCATTTCTGATGCAAAGTCTGGTCCTTCTGTGCATCTGTTAGACAACTGTTGGAAAGGTCGATGCTAACTGTTGGAGCTGGAATCGGTTCTGCATGTGTCTGGGTCTTCAGTGGTAAGACTTGGCTATGTACACGGACCTCATGTAACTTGCAGAGTCTTGTCTTGGCTGGTATGGTGATGGTTCTTGCAGAGATGTTGCAGATTCGAACAGGAATCCTTGAAGAGTTTCATCTACAAGTCTTGGGCATACCGAAAGTCCTGTGTGTTGATCGAGCCCAAGTCGAAGTGCTTGGTAACTGCTGTTGTTCTTCCAGGTTGATGTTGAACAAGTCCATATTCAGTCATCATCCTGTTTGGCTGAACATGAATAGGGGACATATCTGTAGGTCTTACTTGACCGATGATTCCATTAGAGGCTTGGGACCGGAGAGCGGAGAGATGTAACCCATGAAGGAGGGATGCTGCTGTTGACTGGTTCCACGTAAGCTTCTACCTGATCTATAAGGTTGGTGCCGATTACCAAAGGGACTCTTCTTTTGTATTATGTGTTACCAGTTACAAGTAGTGGTAGTGTGAAGTTATTGTTGATAAAAGGGATGTAGATGTTAGCCTCTATGTATCCAGTGAAGGGAAAGATGTTATCACCTGGTGACATTACTTCCACTTCAAAGTCAGTGAGTGCCTTCAACGGGAGGTGACTTAGACTTGACTTGTGATATCATTCCGATACAGTGGAAACCATAGATCTGAGATCAATCAAACCTTCACAATCCAACTCGTCGATGCTGACTGATGTATCATTCGCCTTGCCTATCATTATTCGGTGTAGGCCAATTGAGGGGCTAGTTAAAGGAGAATACTAACGCATATGATGTGGTAAAAAGCATCCTGAAAATCACTCTCCGTTATTAAAATTTCATAAAAAGTTTGTAAAAACGCAATGAAAACGTGAAAAACGCCTTAGAATTTCCGCCTATTACGGAAACACTCGACGGTTAATGAGCAGAGGCGGGTATCACGTGACATGACGTCAAATTTTCTTACTGATACTGAAACCAAACATCTTTGACCAGCTGATTCTGTAATTCCGAATATTTGTTCTTATAATGCAACGAGTTGTTTTCAGCTATTTACTCTCTAAATTAAGTCTCTATCAACAGTAAATCTGAGTGTACTCTACATGAGGTTGCATGTCGAAATGTTATTGATAAAGGAGCAACATAAACATTGCTCTGGTGACAGCATAGTACGGTTCTGACTTTATCTCTGGTGACAGCATAGTACGGTTCTGACTATATCTCTGGTGACAGCATGGTACGGTTCTAACTTTATCTCTGTTTACAGCATAGTACGGTTCTGAGTTTATCTCTGGTGACAGCATAATACGGATCTGACTTTATCTCTTGTTACACCATAGTACGCTTCTGACTTAACTCTGGTGACAGCATAGTACGGTTCTGACTTTATCTCTGGTGACAGCATAGTACGTTTCTGACTTTATCTCTGGTGACAGCATAGTACGTTTCAGACTTTATCTCTGGTGACAGCATAGTACGTTTCTGACTTTATCTCTGGTGACAGCATAGTACGGTTCTGAGTTTATCTCTGGTGACAGCATAGTACGTTTCTGACTTTATCTCTGGTGACAGCATAGTACGTTTCTGACTTTATCTCTGGTGACAGCATAGTACGATTCTGACTTTATCTCTGGTGACAGGATAGTACGTTTCTGACTTTATCTCTGGTGACAGCATAGTACGGTTCTGACTTTATCTCTGGTGACAGCATAGTACGTTTCTGACTTTGTCTCTGGTGACAGCATAGTACGGTTCTGACTTTATCTCTGGTGACAGCATAGTACGTTTCTGACTTTATCTCTGGTGACAGCATAGTACGTTTCTGACTTTATCTCTGGTGACAGCATAGTGCGGTTCTGAGTTTATCTCTGGTGACAGCATAGTACGTTTCTTTCTATATCTCTGGTGACAGCATAGTCCGGTTCTGACTTTATCTCTGGTGACAGCATAGTACGTTTCTGACTTATCTCTGGTGACAGGATAGTACGTTTCTGACTTTATCTCTTGTTACAACATAGTACGCTTCTGACTTAACTCTGGTGACAGCATAGTACGGTTCTGACTTTATCTCTGGTGACAGGATAGTGCGGTTCTGACTTTATCTCTTGTTACAACATAGTACGCTTCTGACTTAACTCTGGTGACAGGATATTACGGTTCTGACTTTATCTCGAATCGTCATCACATAGAGATGACTCCAGACGTGGTGAAGATGTGAGCGTATCCTGCCACACCAATGGCAGCATCACAAACACATGCAAAAGCGAGACAAGTGTGTAACCACTGGACGTATTTCTATCTTACCGTATCAGATAACATGTATGTCGAACGTTGAGTTATTTAGTTTGGCTAATTGGACCTCTGGAAACTAAACGGAAGATGATGTTCCTGTTAGCATGTACAAACTTCTTTGAGTGGCATTTTAGAAGTTGGGAAGTACACTACTTACAACTTGCTACCATAATTTTGTCAATAAAATAAAGAGGTTATGGCTTTATTAAGAAGGTACTTTAAAGCGTGTGTGTGTGTGTGTGTGTGTGTGTGTGTGTGTGTGTGTTTGTGTTTGTGTTTGTGTTTGTGTTTGTGTGTGTGGTACAGACATAATTTCTTCAATTCTAACCTGTTTCGCACTGTCAATGTGATCATCATGGGAATGACGTTGCTATACTCTGTGTATAACGGCGTTGCTAAGCTATGACGTCACTATGTATATATATTGGTGAATTGGCATTTCGACTGTTGCAGGTGGTCGGCTTCAACAATGTTGAACATCTTTGCGGTTCTGGTGCCGACCTTCTGTGAGTGCTCTCCACACATGAGGAGTTAGTTATAGTTGTACACTGGGTTAAGCTAATGGTAAATGGGGCACTAAAGATAGTTGATATGAGCTTTACTGGTAAAACCACTAAACAATCAAGTCTCTTTTACTATCTTGTTGGGTAAAACAGCAGATTGATGTCGACAGGGTTTTGTTGTTTTTCTAGTTTAATGCGACATTCTGTCAGTATATCGGGGGTATATAATTGAATCGGACCAGGCAACACGGTAATTGGAATAATCATAATCGATATTTGTAATTAAAAGCCTGCGGTTTACCTTGTCAGTGGTTAATTTCAAAGATGCCATGGTAGTCTTTATTCTTGCTGTCTCTTATTTCAGTCTTGGTCGTCCCAGGGGACAGACTATGTGAGTGGGGTAAATATGGCGAGCACTGTAACTTGACTTGTCCTGTGAACTGTGCCCTAGTTCCATCAAGAAATGTTCAGTACTGTAACAGAAACACGGGGAAGTGTCTTGGAGGATGCCGGCGTGGTTGGCATGGTGATCTGTGTGACCAATCCTGCAGCACCAACTGTCTCAACCGGACCTGTAACCAGCAAACTGGGCACTGCACACTTGGCTGCAATGGAACCAACACTGGAGATTTTTGTAACAGTACACGACGTACGATGATTTTAGTTTAATATTGAGTTAATGAAATTTTTATAGCTACATTTTCACAATCTATAACTTTTTGTTCTTGGTAACAACATTATTTTTATAACCGGAACTACTAGGAACATTTTAGTTAGTTGTTGCCCATAAATATAAATTCTGTTGTTTCTGTAATTCTGCTGAAACAAATATATACTCATGATATTGTCACAATTGTACAATCGACTCTGATTTTCAGTGACGTGTGAAGCTGAAAATGGACACAATGATGTGATTTAATTTTTCAAAGATTTCTAAGGCTCCACCAATAACTGATGACTGTTATAAAATGTGTTACTATACAATAAACCCCGTCCATACCAAAGTAGATAATTGCCAATTCAGACAATATCATCATTTCTTACACACCCGTGGGTGAGAAACCCATGTGAGAAAACTGGTATCACACATATGTGTGAGATCGATTTCTAATCCCGTGATTGGCTACTCCATGGTGATGACCTAAGGTCAGGGTATGACGGACTACTTTCCTGATTAAAATTCATTGATAAGTTACTCGTGCTTCAATCGAACAGAAACCTGTTACTCGTGCAAAAAATACCCCTTTACACCTACCTGTTATTTTCGCGATAGCAACATAAACAGGTATTTATACAATGAGTCACAAGTAGAATAAATATAACACAAATCTATTTATTTTCGAATTCCTTTTATTAAAACTTTTGATTTCTACTCATGAATTCAAAATGGCTCCAACAACCTGTGATACCTGTGTAAACAATTATGTGAAAATCACCGTTAGACATAAAGCCCTTGATTCCCTTCGAATATTCAAAATGTACAACACTGGTACTTTTACTGGAGAGATGCGACAAGTGTCATGTGTCGTCTTGCAAAAATACCTGACACGATAACGTCAGTGCCTGTCGAGAGATCAATTTACCTCGTTGTTTCTTTGATGCATTGATGAAGATGACATTTTTCACTGATACATATGATGGAGACTCACTTCCAGCTCCGAGATACTATGTGATTCTAATGTTATCAAAATCACTCATGACAATCTGAACCAAAACACACTCGTTGAAACAATGTACAACATGGTACGTTTTGCAAGGCTTCATGAGTGCAAATGGCGGCACACGTCCGTTCTGTTCAATCGAACATGTACAGGAACGGTTGATCTACACATAAGTCATTGCTCAAGATATTCCTCTGACGCATGATAATGAAAAGTTTATGTCTTGATAACTTACAGGATGTAATCAACTCACATTTCATACTGAAAACTCCGTAAACTCCATTACATTCCAAGTGGCAGTTTCTGGCTCGGGAAAACGAGAAGGATGTTGCGAAGAAGAGTAGTCCCCCATTGACAGTGAACGTAACCTCAGCAATGTCACATTCAAGCACACTGGGTGCACCTAATTACACACACTCAAAACCTTTGGCCCCGGTCGATGGTAGAACATTGAGCGTAGACTGGTACACAAGTACAGATCCCCAATGTGCAGAGATATCCAAAACAATATTCCGATGACGACGACAACCACCAAGCGATAACGATGACGTCACACGCTCAAATATTTACGCTTGTAAGAATTAAAATCATCCACATCATCGTTTTAGAGGGTTTAATTAATTTTCAGTGATCTTATCTAGTTATCATTATCACCATTGCCTTGATGATGCGAAGAGGTGGCAGAAACTTTTTTGTGGAGGGTCACCATGGGGATGAGTAGTGATTAGGAAGCCAAGTGACGTCACTCATTCATAAACGTTGTGTTGTGTATTATTGCGCACCTACGATTAGAAAACATGAAATTTGAATCTATTCGACCATAAAATGATACGATTTATGGTGTGTAAGAAACAGATTACTGTACTCGTGTCTGTCAGATACCATTTATCTTACAACTCGTTGTTTCGAAACGTATTTAACTCGCTTTCGCTCGTTAAATACGTTTTGAAACAACTCGTTGTAAGATAAATGGTATCTGACAGACACTCGTTTAGTAATCTCTATGTATTCATGAATACCTATTCCTACATTCGGACAACATCATCATGTATTTATGAATACATATTCCCACATTCAGACAACATCATCATGTATTTATGAATACCTGTTCGCACATTCAGACATCATCATGTATTTATGAATACATATTCCCACATTCAGACAACATCGTCATGTATTTATGAATACCTATTCCAACATGCAGACAACATCATCATGTATTTATGAATACCTGTTCGCACATTCAGACATCATCATGTATTTATGAATACATATTCCCACATTCAGACAACATCGTCATGTATTTATGAATACCTATTCCAACATGCAGACAACATCATCATGTATTTATGAATACATATTAAATACAAGACCAGGTGTTCGCACAAAACATTCAGACAATATCATCATGTATTTATGAATACCTATTCCAACATTCAGACAACATCATCATGTATTTATGAATACCTATTAAATACAAGACCAGGTGTTCGCACAAAACACTCAGACAATATCATCAGGTATTTATGAATACCTATTAAATACAATACCAGGTGTTCGCACAAAACATTCAGACATCATCATGTATTCATGAATACCTATTCCCACATTCAGACAACATCATCATGTATTCATGAATACCTATTAAATACAATACCGGGTGTTCGCACAAAACATTCAGACAACATCATCATGTATTCATGAATACCTATTAAATACAATACCAGCTGTTCGCACAAAACATTTAGACAACATCATCATGTATTCAAGAATACCTATTAAATACAATACCAGGTGTTCGCACAAAACATTCAGACAACATCATCATGTATTCATGAATACCTATTAAATACAATACCAGGTGTTCACACAAAACATTCAGACAACATCATCATGTATTCATGAATACCTATTAAATACAATACCAGGTGTTCGCACAAAACATTCAGACAACATCATCATGTATTTATGAATACCTATTAAATACAATACCAGGTGTTCGCACAAAACATTCAGACAACATCATCATGTATTCATGAATACCTATTAAATACAATACCAGGTGTTCGCACAAAACATTCAAACAACATCATCATGTATTCATGAATACCTATTAAATACAATACCAGGTGTTCGCACAAAACATTCAGACAATATCATCATGTATTTATGAATACCTATTAAATACAATACCAGGTGTTCGCACAAAACATTCAGACAACATCATCATGTATTCATGAATACCTATTAAATACAATACCAGGTGTTCGCACAAAACATTCAGACAATATCATCATGTATTTATGAATACCTATTAAATACGATACCAGGTGTTCGCACAAAACATTCAAACAACATCATCATGTATTCATGAATACCTATTAAATACAATACCAGGTGTTCGCACAAAACATTCAGACAACATCATCATGTATTTATGAATACCTATTAAATACAATACCAGGTGTTCGCACAAAACATTCATTGGCGGAACATGTTTCAACTTCACTTCAATCAGTATTTCGAAACAGATTCAGAAAAACGATTTGTCAAACTTTGAGAGAAAACATAAATTCATTGATCCAAAATGACGTGTACACCATAGGGTTGTATTGGTTTGACGAGCAGTTCATAGGAACATAATCTCAGTTGCTCATGGTCATATAGTTGTACTAAAACCCCTTAAAATCTGTTTTAGCGTTGATATTGCATTTTATGTTCTTATACACCCATACTTTAGGTGAAACACAAAAAGTCTAATTCTCAACGATACACATGTGGAACATATTCTACAATCTTCATCATCATTTCTAAAGTTAGTTTTCATTTCTTGAATTATAAAAAAACCAAACCTAGTAAGCCTAGCCCCTTGCTAATGTCATCAATTGTCTACCATAGTAAGCCTAGCCCCATGCTAATGTCATCAATTGTCTACCATAGTATGCCTAGCCCCTTGCTAATGTCATCAATTGTCTGCCATGGTAAGCCTAGCCCCTTGCTAATGTCATCAATTGTCTACCATAGTATGCCTAGCCCCCTTTCTGATGTCATCAATTGTCTACCATAGTATGCCTAGCTCCTTGCTGGTGTCATCAATTGTCTACCATAGTATGCCTAGCCCCTTGCTGATGTCATCAATTGTCTACCATAGTATGCCTAGTTCCTTGCTGATGTCATCAATTGTCTACCATAGTATGCCTAGCCCTTTGCTGATGTCATCAATTGTCTACCTTAGTATGCCTAGCTCCTTGCTGATGTCATCAATTGCCTACCATAGTATGCCTAGCTCCTTGCTGATGTCATCAATTGTCTACCATAGTATGCCTAGTCTCTTGTTAATGTCATCAATTGTCTACCATAGTATGCCTATTTCTGCTGATGTCATCAATTGCCTACCATAGTATGCCTAGCTCCTTGCTGATGTCATCAATTGTCTACCATAGTATGCCTAGCTCCTTGCTGATGTCATCAATTGTCTAACATAGTATGGCTAGCTCTGCTGATGTCATCAATTGTCTACCTCAAATGAACCATAACTGCAGCCAAAGCTTTCATGTGACCTTGAATGCTTTTGATCCGAGGTGATGAGTACTGAGCCATATGACTACTTTATGGGCTGGACAGCTGGGATTTGACTGCTTGAGAGTGTTCCTCATCCCTCTGGCCATAGAGTCTTACTCGGATTCTTTATGTATATACATGAACATGTTCTCCTGTTAAGATGGCTAAATCAATGAAGGCGATTTGACCACTATTGAAAGTTTTCACATCACGTCACATGAAGCTGAATGTGAATCATTTTTCTGAAACTTTCATGCAAGTTTAAAAATTCAACTTTACAGATAACAAAATCCGAGATTGGTATGATTGGGAGCGCGTTTTTTGCCCATGGGAACGTCTATGTCTTCTACGAATGTCGGATTCAAAATTTCCAATAGCTTGAACTAATGAAGAACACTAACATTTCCATATCATCTCTCGAATGACATTGTGTCTTGGAGGTTAGAGGTGTGACTCATGGGCTCATCACGTTTAGTGACAAATTTCAACAAAGTCAATGAATGTAAATCGCGAGTTTGAATAACCCACATGGTATTTTTCTGCATGTCTAAAGTTGTTCTTTCTGTGGAAAAACACAAGACCTGTCTTGTATGTAGTCTTCCAAAGATTACAGTTCTATATGTTAACTTTATGATTTTCACAATGGTGTAGTCTGAACACTCTCACAAAAGACAATGTCATGAGTTGATTTAAATAGAAGCGATAAACGCCTTTTCACATCCATAACAAATCTCTGCTAAAAGCAAATCGAAACTTGACCTACGAAAACATTTTTTAAAGTAAAATTTACATTTCATATATATAAAAAGAGTTAAGTGACATATGCGAAGAAATTCCAGATTACAATTTGGGCAAAACATTCGAAGACATAAGTTAATAAAATGTTCACATTATTCATTATTGACTGATATGTAACGTAATACTGACTAATATGTGTGGCTTAATTATTTCACTTTCCATACCTTATATTTCCGTAATTATTCGCTTTTCTTCATGACATAAAACTGAGATCCATTGTTTGGGTAAAGTTCTCATACATATCTGGTGCACAAATGTATTAATATCTCAACTGTCTATATAAAATGTACGTGAACGAAACGAAATGTCACGGAAAGACAAAGATTGTTTCCCTATTTATCATCAAATTTAAAAACTACAAAAAACCCATCAAGAAACGCGATTCAGGAAATGAAACTGTGTTGCTATACACAACGATGAAACAAATATATTGATGGTTAAAGATTTGAAGTAAATGTTTACAGCACGATAATAATGACCACGTGAATTTTTGTTTTCAAAATATTATTACCGGGATCCTTTTCCGTTTTGTGGTCAACACTTTAACTTGGACAGCTACATCAAGGATCCTTGTATTGGTGAATAAAAGGATGTTGCTCAATGTACATGCATGACAAAGATGCTGTGGGAATGCTTGAAGTTAAACGTCCAAATAGATAGGCAAAACTCATTTTTGATGACTCAGTGTCCACACGATAACGGTAGCATGAAAAAAATGTTTTCGTTGCCAAAGACAGGAGAGAACAATCTTCAGTGAAAGAGAAATGCAGTGTATGGCCAGTTTACAATCTACGGAGAGCAGTTAAAGGGAGATAATTCATGTTCATTCAGTTTTGTTTTCAATCTAACAAACACTTGTATGGTTAGCAGCAAACGATATACATTGCGTCTTGCTCATATGTATGTCCGTGTGTATGTATGTGTGTGTGTGTGTGAAAATGTATCTATGCACATGTAGACGGTTATGCATATATGTGTATTTTGTATGTATACAGACAAGTGTAACAAATTGAGGGATGGAAATAGAAAGAAAAAAGTTCTTTGCGCAAAAGCATCAATGTGTGCATAACCTGTCTCGCATCCTAATCTGAGCTGGTTAAATACTGACATATCGCCGAGGTATTGTACATCACATTGATGAACACCATGGTGTCCATTTGAAACAAAATTCCTATCCATATTATTTTAAAAAAATCTTGTTTATTTTATATTATAGATTTTCAGTTAATTGGATGTCATTAAATTTTAGTTCCTGAAATATATACCTGATTTATTTATCAAGACATCGATTTTCTTTGTCCAGAGTGTGGTCGTGGCTGGTATGGAGATACGTGTGAACATCCCTGCAGCAGCAACTGTGTGGAGGAAAGATGCAACCAAACAACTGGAGTCTGTGTACTTGGCTGTAATGGGACTTATACAAGAGAGATCTGTAACATCACGACAGGTACAGAGATATAATGGGTAATCTAGATGTATGTGGTTAATGAATAATATGTAGAAAAGTGTATGGATACCAGAATACAATGGATCTTTGTCACATTTGTCTGTACCATATAAGCATGTTTTACAAAATGTATCAGAGACCTTTGGCGGTGACAATGTTTATTTGCAAAGCCACATTGAAGCAGTGTCTGTAACCTTCGATTAGTGAGTGAGTGAGTGAGTTAGATGTAGTTACACTGTACATATTTCAATCATCTCTATCACCTCTATGGAGGTCACAGGTCAACACACCGAATTCAGGGCAATATATAGGTTGAATGATAGGAACATATTTTCATTTTGACATATATAGTATCACATTTTAAACAGGTATATTGGAATAATAAGGAATGTAGTAACAAAATGTTATAAGTAGTTTGATCCTTTAATGTTGGATTGTTAAGGTAGATAAAACAGGTCTAATTCTGCTACCTTTTCATAAAAAGTCCTGAATATTCCTTAAATGTATGTCAAGAGAAGAGAAACCTTATTGCTGGCAAAGGTAGTCAAAAACTTTGGCGGATGTAGTCACTGAACGGATGTAGTCAGACACTGGCGAATGTAGTCACTAAACGTATGTAGTCAAAAACTTTGGCGGATGTAGTCACTGAACGGATGTAGTCAAAAACGCTGGCGAGTATAGTCAAATCATTGGCGGATGTTGTGATAAATATTGTCTTTGCCTACAGTAGTTAGCAACATCAAGGAAGAAGCAGACAATCTGGCTGCCATACTGGTTCCTGTCTTCCTGGTTGTAGCTGTATTCGCCGCAGTCGTCGTGGTCCTATTGTAAGTTCATATGCTTCATGGGGCGGTGGGGTAGTCAGTCAGTCATACGCTGCACGTAAAACTGTTGCTTCAAACATCAATCTGATGTCTGGTGTAATGTGTATGTTTTTTAGGCTTTATTACGACCTTGAATGATAACAATTGATCAAACAAGATTTGGGAAAAAGGCACATGTAGCTATTTAAAGAAAGGGCAAATTGTGACTCTAGAACTGGCGTTGACTTAACATTAACATTGACACAAGTGAATGTGAACTACGACAGATGATTACAGCTTTATCCCTCACATAGAAAATACAACACATGACATAAAAACACAACATATTATCTTTCAACATAATCGCCTTCCACATTGGGACATCTTTGCCAACAGGGTTAGAACGATTTTAACCGGTTTCGTTGAGGTCCATCACCTCAGCTGTTGGACAGGTTTCTCCATAGCTGCCATAAAGTCAACATAAGAGGTGACATGGGTTCGTTGTTCATGTCTGAAGTGTAACAGGAAAACTGTTTGGTGTTGAACGCCACACTTCTTGTATCCATTATGTTGCTGCGAGAGCACACCTTCCTCAACCGTCATTGCCCCGTCAGCATCCTTAATCAGGATATGTTGGCTCAGTTGTCAGTGGACGTCTTTCAGACCTAGTGAGGAATCAAGAGAGGTTTGACAAGCATGGCACTAGGCAGCGAAAGGAATCTCTGCTCGGTTATATTTCTACATATAATTGCACACTAAATAGTTTCCTCAACTCCCCCTTAGTTGTAATGGAACTGTGCAAGGCATATGTTTAATTGCCAGAAGGGAGTATCATCATCAATGCTGCTCTGTCACCCTTATTGCACTTATTGTAACCGCACACACACGTGCATGCTATCACACACAAATGCATTCTCACACACAAACACACTCTCTTTTGCTCTCTCTCTTTACCTCTCACGCACACAGAAGTGTTTCTATTATGCAGGAGACACTACTGTAACCCTCGTCCGCTATTATGAAACAACCCGTTTCTGTGATTTGCTTTTAATAAATTCATCACTGCATTTATCTCACTTTTAATGATTCACTCATTCTGCATAGTATGATTCCGTTATATAATTCATACATGGAAAAAAGGTGGAACTTTTAACATGTCGAAGAACGTTTGATGAAAATATTCTTTAGCATTTAGTAAAATAATGTCGGAAAAAAACAATTTCATAATCTCAAAATCTTTAACTAAATACTGAATGAATGGATGAATGAAAGAAGGAACAAGCGAATGTATGTACATGTATAGTTTAATATAGGGCTTCTCTTCATATGTCTGGAATATGTATACATACCAGCATTAAAAGTAGTCAAACTGCAATGACAAATTCAATAAGTATGTGTGATATTATTTTTGCAGATGGCGCAGACGGAAAAATCGGTAATATATTATCACTTTCTTTTCACATTTGTCATTACCTGTTGTGATACCTGACCTGTTTATGATGTGCAAACATACATAGGTTAAGGATTCTTGGAATGAACGTATCTGACACAGTCGTAAACATGAAGAGATGGATGGATGGATGGAGGTTATGGAATGTTGACACCATAGTAATCTCAGGAGATTGAGCTTACAGTAGGGCCTATGTCCACATGTCTGGAATATATATCATTTTATTCTTTATATGTTTTTTCTTTGTTGCAGTGCACAAAATGCGGGTGAGTATTTCGCGTTTTCTTGGAACTTTTCCAGGACAATAATTGGCTCGATGACTCGGATGCCTCATGTCATCGTATCCCAGTTGCGGAAATCGATGCTCATACTGTTGATCACTGTATTATCTGGTCAAGTTTCCATTTTTACAAATCGATGCCATATAGCTGGAATATTGCTGAGGGAATCGCCAAACAAGAAACAAACAAAACATGAAACAAAATCGCAAACAATCCGGTTAGCAACGATGCTGTGGCACTTCGTTCAGCATGTAAAGTAAGTAAAGACTGTCTCGGTTCTACCATACAGTTGCTTTACCCTCGGTGTTTCACATCTTCATCTATTCAGTGGAGTAGCATGAGTATATTTTACTACCGCTTACGTCGGTTTGGTGTAGAATATCAATGTCCCTATCACAGTGTTCGTTCCTGATGTTAACGTCTCCACACACGGTCTATACACTGGCATTGTATCTGTAGTCCGCTAGTCACATTTATCATTCTGTACCTAAACCATACCTCATGATGTAATACTGCAAACAATATTGAAAGAAAGTGGGTGATTTTAAAGTCTCCCAAACACTGTCAAATTCCGAGCATTTTCAGTGTAGAGGTTCGTGGGGTCTTTTCTACGTATGTCAGCATCATGCCAGCGTTGCTTTACAATCGTGGATCTGCATAAATGTGTTTCATCTCCCCATCTAGTTGACATGCTGTGATATAAATGTTCCAAGACTGAAAACAAACCCAATCTCACAAAGTCTACTTCTTCATCCCCAGGTGCTTCATTCAACGAGGAGCTTCTGTTATCCCGTGGACACACGGATGAAGGTAAAGTCAGAATCGCCTTCTGAATGAAGCTTTAATAAATGAAACAAACCAAAGAAATCGCGTTGAATAGAAATTATGTCCAGGAATACACTTCATTTCACATTCATTTCTGTTTCGTTATTTCGTTATTTCTTGCCACGAGAACTGAATTCATAACACTACATAGACCTGTTCAACAATAAAGATGAGATTTGAGCTGAAATGACATGATTTGTTTTCTTGACTGACAAAAATTATAACATTTAACATAACATATATATTGCATTCATCAATTCACCAAATTCAGTCATGAATTTTACTGTAATCAAATGCACAATGGATGTTATTCTTTCTTTATAATCCATTTACCTCCGGTTTGCATTATGTAATTACAATCAATGAACATTTGTGCGGGATATATACTGGAAGTATAAAAACATACATGTATGAAATGAAATTTATTTTTTCTGCAATTAGAAGGAGCTTCAAGCGGGGAGACTCCAGTACAAACTGGAAATATGAATGAAGGTAGATAGAAGACGAACTATTGGTCTAATGGACGATTTGCACATTTACATAAAATGATGCAACAATAAAGATGGAATTTGAGCTGAAAGGTCATATTGCATGACGGGACTTGGTTTGATGACCAACAAAACAAAACAATTTATATTCATCAAAGGAGGAGGTTTCTTTACACATATAAAACAGGAATCATGAAGTTTACTCTGAGGAAATGCATAATGAATGTTTTTCTTCCTCTATGATCCATTTTCTGCCTCATTTTATCAAACAATGAAAGAATGATGGATACTGGAAAATATTTATTAGGTACATGTATACAATGAACATTTGTTTCTGTTCTACCTCATGACTTTATCAAAACAATGAAAGAATGATGGATACTGGAAAAATGGAATAATGACTGAAGGTAGGTAGCAGACAGGTGACAAGACTGGAATAATGACTGAAGGTATAGCAGACAGGTGACAAGACTGGAATAATGACTGAAGGTAGGCAGCAGACAGGTGACAAGACTGGAATAATGACTGAAGGTAGGTAGCAGACAGGTGACAAGACTGGAATAATGACTGAAGGTAGGTAGCAGACAGGTGACAAGACTGGAATAATGACTGAAGGTAGGTAGCACAGACAGGTGACAAGACTGGAATAATGACTGAAGGTAGGTAGCAGACAGGTGACAAGACTGGAATAATGACTGAAGGTAGGTAGCAGACAGGTGACAAGACTGGAATAATGACTGAAGGTAGGTAGCAGACAGGTGACAAGACTGGAATAATGACTGAAGGTAGGTAGCAGACAGGTGACAAGACTGGAATAATGACTGAAGGTAGGTAGCAGACAGGTGACAAGACTGGAATAATGACTGAAGTAGGTAGCAGACAGGTGACAAGACTGGAATAATGACTGAAGGTAGGTAGCAGACAGGTGACAAGACAGAATGACTGAAGGGTGACAAGACTGGAATAATGACTGAAGGTAGGTAGCAGACAGGTGACAAGACTGGAATAATGACTGAAGGTAGGTAGCAGACAGGTGACAAGACTGGAATATTGACTGAAGGTAGGTAGCAGACAGGTGACAAGACTGGAATAATGACTGAAGGTAGGTAGCAGACAGGTGACAAGACTGGAATAATGACTGAAGGTAGGTAGCAGACAGGTGACAAGACTGGAATAACTATTGGTGTAATGTAGCTGTAGCAAACATACAAGAAGATGTCAGAACAATGCAATGCCTTTCCTTCGCCATTTACTGCCCATTAACAATATTCAATATGAATATTATGGTCTCAGAAGGTCCAGTACTTTGAAGTTCCCCAGCAGACAACCACATATATTTCCAGGAACTATCAGACTTCTTGAGATTGATTCGCCTGAATACAAAGACATTTATGGACTGGAAAAACTAATAACACACACACACACACACACACATTATTATTATTACACATTACATGTTGGATGATGTAGACCATCTAATGCAGACACACTAAAGAGTCACATTGCGATAACCGTCTCAATCGCCCAGAAGTGATATTTGCAGTATGGTACCGTAGCTCAGTGGGTCTGGGATTCTTTCTCCTTGTGTATCAGTACTTTATGGCAAGGTTCTCATTAGTTTTTCGGTAGTTCCTTAACACAACAGTTTTACTGCTTTGCCATGTTATCTGTTTCAGATTTGCTGCTACAACGGATGGCGCAGGCAGAAGTCTTGTTTGAGAAAACCACCATCTACCACACAGTGAGGAAAGAACTGAAGAAACACAAACATGTGACGATGAGCGGAACAGCTGGGGGAGGGAAGACCGCCATTGCTCTGGTGTTAGGGAAGCAGTATAACGACAACGGCTTTAAAGTGTTTTTTGTTACTGATGTTTGCAAAATCAATCTGCGCGGCTGTTTAGATGCAGAGGAAAAAGGTTGTTTTATATTTCATGACATCTTCAAAACGGTCGATTTAGCAAGGGACAAACCACAGGTTGACCGCATTTTACGTGAACTGGAACAAGAGCTGAAAATGTGTAAAACCAGACCTGGAGACAAAAGGGAAGTTTATGCAATATTAACTGCAAACACAAATAGAGGTGAAATATCGCACTTTGGGGAAACATTTTTTAGTGGTTCTTCTTTTATTGACTTCACACTGTTGTCTCGTCAGTACTCGCCTGAGGAGAAGAAGGAAATATTTAACAAACATCGTAAATCATCACAATCAGGTGATCTTCAGGACCTCGACGTAGACGCCATTTGTAGTTTTGAACAATCTGTTTTAGGCTTTCCTCAAACATGCAAACTATTTTTTGCGTGTCAAAGTTTTCGAAAGCATCGTGAAAAGTTTTTCAGTGAACCTTTCTGTTATCTGAGAGAAGAACTGGAAACAATTCTCCCCGAATGAATGACGAGTCAGGTGCTCTCATCCTGATGTTTCTGTGTAAAGACACACTGAACCTAAGAGAAGTGGAGATGCCATCTGGCAACCAGGACCTAGAAAGCATGTTTACATTGATTAAAGATGTTGTACGTATTTCCTCACGAACAATTAGCAAAATCAATCAGACATTTCTCGGGTACGTTTTTCACAAAGGGAGACATACCAGGCTTTGCTCATCCTTCCATCTACGATGCCTGTGCGTGTGCCTTATTCACTCTCAACCCATCCCTCGTCTTGGAATATTGTCATATGAAGTTCCTTCGTGATCATGTGCGTCTTGACCAACATCTGGAGACTTCTACTGTGGACAAGAATCAACCTATAATCCACGTATCAGATGTCTACACTGCCATGATCGATAAAAGACGCGGTAGGGCATTTAATATATACATATTTATATATATAGTTTCATCATGGCTGAATAAAAAAAACAACTCAAAGCGCAGAACAAAAAACAACAAATTTGAACAAACTCATCCTAACATGAAAACTGATCTCTTCCACAGTTTGCCGGCCCCATGCTGTAAAAGGTGTAGTGCTGTTACAGTGAGAATGTAGCATGCTTTTTGTAAGTTTTTATATCTTTGGCTTTGTTTTATCAACCAGCTTCGGACAGTCATTCAGGGGAGGAGCTGCCAAACGAAGGAGTCTGCAATGATGGTGTCATGAGCAGAGGTAGAGTCATAACATCAGCCTAGTTGGCAATGCATATTTCAACCTTATTTTCCTGTAAAAATTTAAACTGTGGTTTCCGTCGATCGCCGTTTCACATATTTTTTGTCACTAATGCATCAAATAGAGGAATCCGCAAGTCTGCCCAAACCGTCTAGCAAGTTAAGTTAATATGTTAAGAAAGCACTATTGAGGCCTTGATTCTGTTAATCTATCTCAAGCTAATGTGAGCTAATGTAAAATATTGTTGAAGTCATCCCTCTTCGTACAGGGTTTAGGCTTTTTATAATCACTTTGAACCTTTATGCATAGATCTAAACATAATATAAACGCGAAACAAAAAAAAATCAAAACACTTTTCTCTAATATGTAAATGTTAGCCTACAATGTTGGAGAAACAGATATCAGCTTATATGTTTTGCTTATTCGTCAGATTGGCTGGACAAACAGGTGATGAGGACAAAAAAAGTGTTTGTTAAAACTGGCATCTACGATAGAGTGAAGGAGAAGTTGGAGACTGAGGGACATGTGACAATGAGTGGTGCAGCAGGTGGAGGCAAGACCGCCATTGCTCTGATGTTAGGGAAACATTATGAAGAGGAGCAAGGCTTTCGGCAGGTCCATGTTGCTGATGTTTCAAAGTTCAAGCTGGATGTCTACACACGTGAACTTCGTGACAGGAGCGTGTGTTTCATATTTCATGACATATTTAGGATCATAGAGCGTTCAAGAGACATAGCTGTTCTCAAAAGTGTTTTACGTCAATTGAGAGACTGTAAGAAAAAGACACAAGAACAAAAACTGTACATCATATTTACGGCTAATACATACGGCGACCAAGGTGAGATATCACAGCTTGGGGATGAAGGGTCATATTTCTTTAGTGGTCCATTGTTCCTTGATTTCAACAAGATTTCTTATCAGTACAAATCTAAAGAGAAGAAACTCATCTTTGACAAACTTTGCAAAGGTTTTGACACAACTGTCGATGTGGAAAAGATTTGTGGATTTGACCAATCCATCCTTGGCTTTCCCCAAACATGCAAACTTTTTGTTTGGTTCAAAAAATTTCAAAACCAACCTGTAAAATTCTTTCAAAGTCCTTTTCACTATCTAAAAGAAGAAATGAATTCAATTCTTGAATTTGGGGATGATCAGTCTGCTGCTCTTATCCTGATGTTTTTGTGTGATGGTCCGCTGAACTTGCACCAAGTTGAACTCCCATCTGACAACAAGGATCTCGAGGATCAGTTCAATACCATGAAAAGCGTGGTGGAATTTACAACGAGGACAGCAGTAGCCGTGGCAGTCAGGCAGTTTCGTGGTAGCTTCTTCACAAAAGGAGATATAACGTCATTTGCCCATCCTACCATCTATGATGCCTGCGCCGTCGCCTTATACACGGACCACCAGGCATTGGTGCTGAAACATGCCAGTATCCGGTTCCTTTGTAAGCATGTGTACACGAAAGAAACAGAACATAAGCCCTCTGAGACTATGGTCTCTGTACCTAAAGCCTATATCAATGAACTAAAAGAGAGGTTGTTTAAATTAGGAAAACAACATCCCAACTATACAGACCTCAAGTCATTGATTATAAAATGATCTGGCAATATCTGTTATCCAGTGAATGGATCTGCACCACTGACAATATAACCATTTCATGACAAATACTGTATAGCGTATATTTCCATGTATCCAGAAGAGAATACTTGTAGAAGAATGTCATGCTTCATAGTGTTATGTATTATTCATTACTGCCAGATAAATGGACAATCGCCAAAGTCCCTATTGTGACCCTGTATCAACAGACAAAGTAAACGAGCAGGACACATCTTCAAGAAACAAAGTCCCAAAACATTTAAAGCAGATTTTATCTTACCAAGTTTTTACTTATAGAATACATGTTCTTTTAATGCTTTGTTAATTTTGTCTTAATCGTCTACATCTCAATGGATGCTGTAAATCCACCCATGCAAGTAGCAAAGGCTCTGTGGGTCTCCATGGTCCCTAGCATGGTGATCTACCTTCAATTGTTGGCAATCTATAGCCTGTTTTAATATTGTATTGTTGCGTGTATAATTATTGTAATATGCTAGTTTTACGTCTGAATCTGTGATAGTAGTGTTATTTACTGACCATCGACGACAGACTTCCTAATCATGTCCAGTATTTCAATTTCCCTTGGCCATGGCAGTCGGACAGTTCCGTGATAGCTTCTTCACAAAAGAACTGAAAAAACAGGGTGTCCGAATTAAAAGAAGAAAATCCCAACTGTACAGAACTGAAGACATTGATTGGAAAATAACCTGACAATATCTGTAACTCAAGGAATGACACTTGTAAACCTGTCTTCATCAGTCTGATACAGTTATCTGTTTATGTTGACTTCCTAAAGCTGTAGAAGGTGCAAGATGAAATATGAAGTCTAGACATGGCGATTAAAGATTTTTCATTTTAAGCATATGGTTTCCCCATAAGTATGTGTACTCATCGAAGTGTAGGAAGCGAAAATGAAACAGTTGCCACGGGACACACGGTTTCAAATACTAACAGTGAATAGATCTGCATGAATGGCAATATAACCATTCCAAGACAAATATTGTACAGCGCCTATTTCCATGCATCCAGAAGAGAATACTTGCTCCATGTTTGGTTTTATTGTTCATTACTGTCAGATACCAATGGAATGGACAGCCATCATAAACACTGTATTGACCATGCAGCGTAAACGAGCTGAACAAACTTGAAAGAAAATATTTGTCATATTGTCATACTGATCATGTTTCGTTTGAAATACCTTAAAACTCAGACTACCACAGAGAGACACAGTGATTTTCTCAACCTGGGTGACGACTGAAGAGGTATACACTTTTTATGGATATACAACTTCTTTCTTGAAGTGGATGCAACGTTAGTAGATCCTAACATTGTTATCAGGCAAATGATGTACAACATATGCACAAGGAGAAATATATACATTGCGGGTATTTGAGTTTATACAATAGAAGAGGTTGATGTGTGTTGACTTGAAGCTTGTTGTGATATGAAATGATTGAAGCCAGTGGACAAAGGGTGGGTTATTCTTGTTTAGGCTTGATGAGTTGATCGTAAGCTGTAGGGATGTAATGACCTTGATCTCTGTTGATTTTCGGGCTGAGTCGTTTGAAGTTGATTGCCTCTAAGAGTTTTCTTGTCCTGTAATCTGACTTGTTGGCTTCTAGAATGCTGATGTTGTTCCAAAGGATAATATGGTTTGGGTGTGGTCGGAAATGGCTGATTGGAGTCTGTTTTCTTTGCAGATGTTTGATGTTGCTTGATTCGCAGGTTCACGGGGCGGGACGTTTCTCCTATGTATGAGTCACCTGAAGGTTCTTCTTGTCTTCGAGTTCTGTACAATTCAGCATATCCTACAAGCCAACGGTAAACCGGCTACAAGAAACAAAGAAGACCTTCAGGCGTTGTCTACCAAGAAGTTGCATATCCATAAAAAGTGTTCCTCTTCATCATACCAGCTTCTAAATGCCACTTAAGGACTAGCCAAGTTGACCAGGAACCAGTAACACATAGTTGTTATCGTATACATATCACGTGACCCTTTCTGGTGGCACCTCTGCGCAAAGTGAGTGAGGTAGATGGATTTGTCAAATCGTCTTGCAGATTAGTCGCAAACATTGTACAAGCAACAGAGCCATGTCCATAACCACAAGGTAGGTTTACGATTCTGACTGTACATGTGCAGGTGTTTACGCGATGATGATAACAGGTGATGAAAGGAGAGGTGTCAACTGTCTACCTGAATACACACACACGGGACAAGTGGCAGAAAGTAACTGCATCCGATATTTTGTCCCTGATAAATCAAATTTCAAAATGTGCTATACATGGTTGTCATGGCACCGTAATCAACTAACTTTTGAGCAATAGTTGTATGGGTCTCCTTGAACCTTTGGTTGAGACAGCAAGGGTGATGGTACCTCACTATTTAGAAATCAAAGGATGGACGTTCAGGAATGGTGACTGTCTTCCTTCTTGTCGTATAGCCTTGTGTAGGCTTTCATTTTCCACTTGATTCGTTATGCATAGATTTAGATATGAAACACATGAAGTGGTTTTACTGGTCTCCATGATCCTAGTTCTTGCTGGTCAACCAGTGGAATTAGTTTTTGCTATTTGGTGATGTCTGAACAATAACGGGTCATTCATATACATGAAGCTTCAGTAAAACTTCTAAAACAAATGACTTTTGTCAGTGTGAACAGAAATTCCTGTCCACATGCATTTACAACAGATCGGCACGTATGGGATCGCACTTGGTGCCCATAGAGATGTGTACCTTTTGCGGAAATGTCTGACCCAATGATAGTATAATAGTACGCGAGTTTTGTCAATGGAGAAATCCATCATTAGACACTATTCTTCTGAGTAAACATTGGGTGGTCAAAGTTCTTTGACAAATAGTGCTGAATCTCTAAAGATCGATATGATATGTAACTGTATCTATAATCTACGCGATATGTAACTTAATGTTGTTTCCTTCTTGCCGTAATGTCTGACACCCAGATATTACGTGAGAGTTGTCAATGAAGAAGTCTTCTATTTGACCTATCATTTTGTCAGTAAACATCAGATGACCTTAGTTCTTGATCAAATAATGACATGTCACTGTATCTATGATCCACACGTGAAGTTTCATCTTTGAGTTTATCATTAGGTTTAGTGCTGTACAAAGTTGAAGGATGAATAAAATGTTTTGTAAAGTATTGACTTGGTACTTTGTAAGATTCCGAAATGTCCAGCAAAACCTTGGAGGTTTTTCTAATCCATAAGGTATTCATACTACTAGTTTCAAATAATTTCTGTGACTATCCAGAAGTTCTGTACTGCAACTTGCATTCTTTTGTGTTCTGCATTCTTAATTACCGAGAGAAATCTGTTCTAATCTGTAAACACTGTGCCACAAAACAATATTTCCTCATTCAGCTTACATCCAAGACACGCTATAAGCCACAAGGTAGTGACTTGTCAAATCATCGATCCCAACGACACCTTGTAAAACCCAAGACAAAAACCGTAATTTGTTTCAGTTTATCAACAAGTGACGAATGCGCCATCGTGTGGCACACCATAGGGTGATAACTAGGCAATATATCTGAGATATCATTTCTTAAAGTTCATGGTTGATAGCATGGTGAGTCTATCGTCTTAGTTTCTAAACATGCGTCCTATGTTTAACACTGGTGCGTCTGGTCTTGTTGATGATGATGTAAAGCAGATAGCATGGTGAGTCTATCATCTTAGTTTCTAAACACGAGTCCTACGTTTAACACTTGTACATCTGGTCTCGTGATAAATTGATGATGTAAAGCAGATAGCAAGGACAGATCAAGGGCGCCTTCTGGGATACTGTGACGTCAGTGGACTAACACCCTAAACCGGGGAAACACTGGAAATATACATGCAGACACAAAAACGTTCATGCACTCTCACCAAAAACTGCATTAAGAAAAACTTAACTATAACCTATGTATATACTCTGAACAGGTAAGTAACTTGAAATGTGAAACTACAGAAGCAAACACCAGTGTTTCTCATTCAATATGTGGCAAGAATACTTACGAAATTATACTGATAAACACAAAGTTGTGACAATCATCAAACACGTGCCATGATTGGTATTCACGCTTGTCATTCAGATATGAACAAAACCTTGATGGCGCCAAACAATCAAATGACACTTACCTGAATTAATTTAATCATAAAGGAAGAGGCAGACCTGATCGTGCTCACCGTTTACGTGCACATGACCTGTTGCAGGTAGGCAGAACAGAATATTTACTCCCAAACGTTGCACTGTCATCAGCAGTTTGTTATCCAATACCAGCAAGGACATAAAGAACATTATCGACGTCTCTCTGGAGACCATCAACTCCTCCCTCGGGCATACTTGACGAAGAGGAAAATATTTCTCATCAGTCTCCTTCATATATGTATTCCTTTTTTACAGTAAAAGCAATAAAAAGAAGCTAGATTTTTTTACATTTCTGTATAATTTTATAGCCCTAGATAGATTTAGGGCTGCGTGAGCACGATTCTCACAAAACGATCACTCTTCAGACAAAACCCGTCATCCAGGGGGTTAATATCATCAACACTGTCTGAAAGGCATCCAGGGGGTTAATATCAACACTATCTGAACGGCATCCAGGGGGTTAACATCAACATTGTCTGAACGGCATCCAGGGGGTAAATATCAACACTGTCTCAACGGAACCCAGGGGGTTAATATCAACACTGTCTCAACGGCATCCAGGGGGGTTAACATCAACACTGCCTGAAAGGCATCCAGGGGGTTAACATCAACACTGTTTGAACGGCATCCAGGGGGTTAACATCAACACTATTTGAACGGCATCCAGGGGGTTAGCATCAATACTGTCTGAACGGCATCCAGGGGGTTAATATCATCAACGTTATCTGAACGGCATCAAGGGGATTAATATCAACACTATCTGAACGGCATCCAGGGGGTCAATATTAACACACTTAACGGCACCCAGGGGGTTAATATCAACACTATCTGAACGGCATCCATGGGGTTAATACCATCATCACTATCTGAACGGCATCAAGAGGGTTAATATCATCAACGTTATCTGAACGGCATCCAGGGGATTTAATATCAACACTATCTGAATGGCATCCAGGGGATTAATATC